CCAAACAGTTGCTAGATATGTAAACTTCAATGTTGTAGGACCAATACCAAAGTTGGTATGTCTTTCCAGAGTTGAAAATTTCTGCTGACATATATTCAACTCACATGAAAAATAATGGATTGGTTGTTTGATTCTCATATTGCCCTCTTGTAATAACACTGCACCAATACTGACATAGTGGGCATCAACAGACAGGTTAACTGGCTTAGCATAATTTGGTGATGCTAAAACTATGCAGTATTCAATACAGCTTTCCAGTTGTCAATGGCACACTGATGTTCTTTTGTTTATTTACATTTCTTGCCATTCTTTAAACAAATTTGTCAAGAGTCACTGCAATGTCCACTGATGCCAATATAATGCAAACACACTCACCTTGTCTTAGACATGGGAAATTCCAAGATAACTCTTACCACTTGGCCTTGTCCAACAGTTTGGCCCAAATAAGTCACTTTTGCTCTGGCAAATTCACTTTTATCCAGGTTTTATCACCAAAGTGGCTCTTCGTAATTGATTTAATAATTTGCTCAAATGTTGTAAATGTTTCTCTCAGGTTTGGCTGAACACAATCAAGTTATCTGTATATGCTACACAGTCGCATAATCCTTCAATTATCTTTTTGATTAATCACTGAAAAGTTGCCAACATTAGGGGGAAGCGATGGCCTAGCGGTATTATCATTTGACTGTTAATCCAGAGACCCAGATAACACCCTGGGGATCTGGGTTCAAATTCCACCATGACAGATGGTGGAATTTGAATTCAATAATTATCTGGAATTAAGAATCTAATGATCATCATGAATCCATTGTCGATTGTCAGGAAAAACCCATCTGGTTCAATAATGTCCTTTCGGAACCTGCCATCCTTACCCAGTCTGGTCTACATGTGACTCCAGACCCACAGCAATGTGGTTGACTCTGGGCAATTAGGGATGGGCAATAAATGCTGCCTGGCCAGCGATGCTCTCACCCAGTGAATGAATAATAAAAAAAAAGTTTCATTTTGAACAGCATGATTTCACATTAATAAAGTCCACTTGTGGTTACAAACACTAATTTTGGTTGCATCAATGAACCTTACGAACCTCCTTTTTCAACCAGTTTTTGTAACAAATTGTACTTGCCTAACCCTCTCAATGTAATTTTCCATTTGTGGAATTGGATATGAACTCACCTGTTACTTTGACTTGACTTTGTGATATTTTGCGATCCATCTAGCTTCAGTACCACCAAAATAGGTGGGTTCCATTTACATTGACTCAGTTCAGTAATGTCAAGGTCCATGATGAATTACATCTCTTTCCTCATTTGGTCCAACTTTTCTGGGTTGAGTACATATGGATGTTTGTTCTATGGGTGGCACATCCCCTACTTTGATATCATGCCTTATACCCTGGCCTATTTACACAAATTGATTTGAGTCTATGACAGCTTTCTGGGAGATTGCATAATATTCTATCTAACCTTTTAAACATCTCCATATTATCCAATTGGGTTACTAGAGATAGTAGGAACTGCAGATGCTGGAGAATCCAAGACAACAAGGTGCAGGGCTGGATGAACACAGCAGGCCAAGCAGCATCATAGGAGCAGAGAGGCTTGATGCTGCTTGGCCTGCTGTGTTCATCCAGCCCTGCAC